CCACAACTGCAAGGTATCCGGTATACTCCTGTAGTGGTGAGGGGGTTCCTTTTGTCCTTTGCTGACCGTAACATTTGTTGTATTTTTGTGGTGGTTCTGAATACTATTTGTAGATTGTGTTTTTTCAAGAGTTTCCCCTTGAGGTCCGTGACCCCTTTGATGTATGGCAGAAATACTTTATTTGTGGGTGGCTGCTTTTCCTCTTCAGTTTTGTTTTCTTGGTTTGATGGCTCTTGTGATTTAATTATTGGAGTAGCTATATGCCTGTAGGGCCCAATTCAGATGGTTGAGTTCAGTGCTTATTTTATTTTATTAGATTTATACTCCACCCATCTAGACCATAGGCCTACTCTGAGAAATTGAGCTCCACAGTTCTGATTTGCACGGTCCACCAGTGTTTTGATTATGTCTCTTTTTTGTTGTGGGTGGTGGTTGGAGTTTTTGTGTAGGTACTGGTCTGTGTGGGTGGCTTTTCTGTAGACCTTGTGTCCCAATAGGAGGTAAGTTTTGCGTATGACCATGACATCTCAGAAAGAGAGTTGGCCCTCTATTTTTTTAGAGTGGATTAAAATAAAATATTTTAAAACAATAAAATATCAAATAGTTTGCCAACTGTACAGAATGCTTTCATGTGAGAAGAATGGTTTGGTGAGTTCTACATATAGTCTACAATGTATCTATTAGTCCTGTAGTCAGTGGTTCCCAACCCTGGGTAATTCAGATTCAAACATATACTGCTCTAATACATATAACTGATGTTCTGATTCAACAGAAAGAAACAGAGAAGAGTTACCGAACAGAAACCCATCAGATTCCAACCCTGCTTTGTTTAATGCATACAAATATTTGCCAGGTTTCTCTGCTTGCGTGAATCTGCTTTTCTCAAGATCTCTTATTTTCTTCTTCTCCTCCCACCACCAAAGCTGGGCATCATCACTGGCACTGAAGTAGTTCTAAACAGTGATGCTGTGTTGCATCTAAACTGGTCTCCCAGTTTCTTCAGCCAGTAGGTCTTAGTCACTTCTGCAAAACCCCACCCACATTTATTGTACTATGAACAATCAGCTGCAATAATCTATACTTTTTATTTCTCATTAGCTGACCAAAATATTTTAGCATTCTGCATTTATGCACCAGTAATCCATGAGGCTTCTAAGCATCTCAGTGGGGCTTCTTAGGGTATGGAAAATATTACTGTACCAATTAGAGAACTAAGACTTGTGTCACAACACACACACACACACACACACCACAGGGCTGCTTTCTGTCTCAATTCAGGGATGCCTGGGGAGTTTTTGGCAGGGAGCCACAAGTTTCCTGAAGAATGTCAATGAAGCAAGAGAGAGAAGTTAGGATTGTTCATCATTGTCAATCCTAAAGAGATTTCCATCTCCAGAAATTATCTAAAATATCCCAAGAATGGATTTGCATGCTGTGTAAAGAGAAGACTTTGAGACTCTGCTTTTATAAGATGGGCTCTTACCCACTACATCCTCACCTATTTTCCTAGGGAAAACACTTCACACAAGGCAGAAAGGTAGAAAACATTACCCATCAATTAAAGACATGTAGTTTTATGATGAGACAGGAATCTGCATGCATCTTGTGTCACTTCTGAGTTGTTGGACACATTATGTTGATGATAGAATTTTGAATCAAACTTGTTAGATGCTGGTGGGACAATGATATCATACTTTTCAATAACTCAGTTTCAGAAAAATAAACAACCCAAAGAAACAAAGCAAGCAAAATCCAATTACAGAGCTATGCAAAAGTGTTCTCCATTCAGAAGTTTTTTACTGGGAGTGTTGAAAAACACAACCTTTAACCATCACCAATTTGATACATAAAATTCTGCAGCCTGATTTTGAGTGACACACTAGCCTGGCCTTCTCATGGAATTTAATATTTAATATTCCCATTACAAAAGACAGCAAACAGTAATAGAGTTCAATGCAGAAAATAACTAATCCATGTAATATAATAAAGCAAAAAAGCCATACAAAAATCAGATAATATAAGAGGTTTGAAAACACTGCAAGTTAAAAACACAAGTGAATTCAAAATATAGATCAAAACACAAAGAAAAACTAAGTTCATGTAGCAAACCCAATTTCTGTTGAATAATAAGGGTCTAAATTGAATGAAATGCTAATGAAGTGAAAACCTCTCTTAATGCAGTAGTACTAGATTCTACTATGGTGCAAGAGTCATGCAAGTGGTTATAAAAACATGTCATCTTCATTGTGCATCCACCTGTATAACAAGCACTGTTTTCAATACCTTCTTTATGCTATCCCTGAAAACATGTGACTGCTTCTACAATTAGCGTTGGGCTACTGCAGGGGTCTCAAACTCAATTTACCTGGGGGCCGCTGGAGGCAGACTCTGGATGAGGCTGGGCCACATCAGATTTTCTGCCAAACACAGCAAGAGCCCGAGGAAGCC